ACCGCGCCGCGAGTGACGAAGAAGAAGCAAACATGGCGACGGTTTGTGCGATTGCTTTGGTGGCTCCGGTGTCGAGTGTCTTCAACGTCCTCGTGAGGAGGTTCCCCTGCCCTTCGAAGTTATTGCAAGCACCACGAAAGATGTGGAATCATCGTCTCAACTACAAATAAGCAGGCCTTCACGAGCAACAACGGTGCCGAGCAGGCGCTCGGCACCGTTGTGTCAGGCTCACGCAGCCAGCGGCACAGTTGTGTGGTTGTGTCGTCAGATGTTCAACAACGCCGAGGTATTTTCATTTGTCATTTGGAATGGCTTCAAGAGTGGGAAATTAATCTATTTCGCGGATTGTTAACGCCGAGGCGAGTGCCCTCCGTTGCAGTGCCGTCGTCGCGCAAAGTGCAGAGAAAACCGGGTGGCGATGGCGGCGGTGCTCTTTGATCTTGCGCCGTCGGGTTCATGAAGTCCGGAGTAAACGTACGTACGTGCGTCTGCTGGATCGGTGTTTTGGACTTCCTCAAAACTCTTTCTCACGCGCATTTTCCTTGTGAAGCTTAGTAGCTCATTACACCTCATCGTCGACTGCGCTCATTTGACTACGACGGACGAGCCTGCGTGATGTGAATTTCACTGCCTAAGATCCTTGGTGTGCTGTAACGAGGGCTAATAAAATATCACCGCGAACTTCTGAACAAACGAGTCGAAGTTTCGTCTGCTATCATAACTGATCGTCAGTCACAATATTAATCAGTAGCGTTCCTAGACTCCGTCCCCAGGGTCCATATCACAAGAGCGAATGACATTTTAGCGAATGGCGACATTTGAGCGAATGGTCGTTTTAGCGAATAACGGGGGCGCGCGTTAACCCATCCGTCGCGCTGCGCTTTACGCCGCTTCGCTAAAACGTCATTCGATCAGGTGAGTGCCTCCCCTCAAACGTGCCACGAAAAGCCAACAATCAAGCATTTGACAGCTACAAAAAAGCGGTAGCGAAATATTTACTACGCAATGAACCCGGACTGAAACGCGGATGTCAAGGGTCAGCAGACACCGAGAACATTTAAGACAACAAAGGTTTTCTCTTGATCGAGATGGGTTCTCGAATGTTCACGACATCTTATCTGTTGAAGAACGGGTCGCGGAGGCTTCTGGTGAAGACATCGTTCACGATGTGCCGGTGCATTCGGACAGCCTGCCGCATCCAGCTTAGAGCACTGCACGGGCCCGGGCCAGCCCGAAAGCCCGAGCCCGGCCCCGCCCGTGGGCCGGGCTCGGGCCGGGTAGCACGTATTTTCTCGGGCCCGGGCCGGGCTCGTGTTTGAGCAAAAAAGTTCTCGGGCCGCGCCGGCCCGGGCCGTGCCTGGGCAATCTTGTGCCGTAAATCATAGATTGTTGTTGATAGCAAGAAGTTTGCTCATTAATCTTTTAGGTTCATTGAAAACAAAAAAAAAGCGAAGTGTAAATTCACTACAGCGTCGTTAAAAATAATAACTAAAAGACGTCTTGAAGCTAGAAAGCCTTCAAGCCGTGTGAGCGAGGGTTCAGTGTTATAAATTGTAAACAAAATAAAATCCCAGTCATAGGCTTGTCAACCTGTCTGATTCATCGCTCTCAAAAATATCTAATTCACTATTAGGAAGGTTTAGAAAAACGTACGCAAGCGCTTTGGGTACCGTAAAAATAGCGTTGCGATGTAAAACCTATGGTGATACTAGAGTGTTTTAGTAGATCGTTCAGTCACTCCCGCTGTGCTATCCGCTAGCCGCTATGACCTCCGCTATATGTAGCGTAGCGGAACTACCATTTTAAGTTTTAGTTGAACGTTCGCAACCCGCTACGGATTACAACGTTACGAGAGCTAACGCAACGCCACTAGCGGCTCTTTCGGACACTAGGGCTCGCGTAAAACAGATTTGTAAAGCAATCCTTCGCAATTGTTTTTAATAACGTCGTTATCTTAATAAAATATTGTTTTTTATTGAATAACGTGCTAATCGTTGCTTCTTTTGTAAGTAGGTGACTATTACGTTTGAAATTGAATACAACTGTCAGCCAAGCTGTCCAAGCCAATCCGATATGAGTCAAGTGCCAAAGCCACCGAGAAAAATCTTCAAAAATAAAGGACAACCACTGTAGCTCATCTGTTGCGTCGTTGTCCACCGAAAATGAAGCGCCAGCCACAGAAATCCCTCATATCCACCTGCTCGCTCCGCTTCCTTAGTCGGTTTTGTCTTCACGACAAAGCGGCCGAGCAGGGGGCTGCACTTTCGCTCACAGCACCAAAAACTGCGAAGCTTTTTCTTTTTTCTTTTTCTCCTTTCCGTGGCCGCGTTTAGTATATCCGCCATGAATCACTACCTGTTGCAGTTGTGGAACGGCTTTGTCGCGGGTACTTCTCGCAGCAGCAAGGTATAATCCACCCCTTAGAACGACGATTGCGAAACGCACAGACCGAGTAGACGCGGCGTGGCGGCCATCTTGAACAGCGTCCCTCGCTGGGTCTCTTTTATCTCGCCAAGACTCGTTCTCGCGAGAGCCACGCTAGCACGCCGCGCTACGCCCCTCGCTATTTTGGCCCGCTAGCGCGCCTCCGCTAGCCTCCGCAATGTTTCCGCTAGCAGCGCGCATGCGCAGTAGCGTCGTCGCTCTAGCGTATAGCGTAGCGGGAGAGCCAAAACGATCTACTAAAACTCTCCACTAATTTTAGCTTGCCCAAAGTGCTTGAGTACGTTATTCTAAGACTCCCTTATTGCACAGAGCGCGACACTATATTAGCGCGAACAAGCGATCGTCGTGTTTTTATGTTAATCTAATAGAATCAAAACGCTGTTTTCAAAACTATTAGTGTCTTTAGAAGTGCTCATCTGGGCCACAGACCTAAGCGGTATACTTTGGTGCCTACTAACACCATTTCGAAGTAAAATTCGAAAAAAGAGCCAACGTCGTGTTCGCGGTATCAGTGTCGCGCAGTGTACATACATAGTCCGTTCCGCGCTTGCACGTTTTGGGAACCATCTTGAAAAAAAAAAAAATTTTTTAAAGGGGCCCTGCAATGACTTTTTTACTAATTTTTAATTAGCACCGAACCTGAGGGCAGCGAACGTAGTAACTCAGTGAAACGTTTCTTTTCTCGAAATTCGCTTTATTGTAAAAGTTAGAGGCAAATTAAAATTACAAAAACAAGCAAGAAATAACCTTCCTCATGACGTCCTTGGTCGCTTGAGTGGCCGTGAACTAGAAGAGGGGTAGTGGGCTCCTCGCGAGCGCTCACGGCGGCCGCACTCCGTGTCGACGGCGCGAGAGGGCGCCACTAAAGCATGTTCTGGATAGGCTGTATGCAGCGGGCAGCCAGAGCGGCTCTCATTGCCTTTGCTGCGCGATTAAACACTAATTTGGCATGACACCTCATCGGCCACAAACGATAGTAAACATGGGTAAAGATCAGTTTAAAATGGGAGCCACTTCGCGCTGCCATACCGCGAAACGGCCAAACAGCAAGACAAAGCTTCTCGCCGAAGGTGCCGAAGGCCTTCGGAACGCTCGGAGCCGGTCGGATCCTCCTACCGATACGACCGCAGCGCCGCCGCGTACATCCGGGACCTTTCCGTGTCGGTTCTTGGTCGGTATCCAAGCGTGCGAAGGCACAGAGACACGGCACTTCGGCGTGCCAAGGAAGCTTTGAACACGCCGCCAGCCCTTCCTTTCGACGCGTTGTGCCTTTTTCCTGCGACACTGCACTTTCGTAAAATTTTCCACGTGTTCACAACGGCAAGTCTCAACAATACGCAGAGTCTCAAAAAACTTCTTCGGCGAATGACGACGAACGAGTAGAAAACGTGTCTACAGCACGCTGGAAAACCGCAGCAAAGGCTAGCAAAAACGGCAAATCGTATCCCAAGCGAGCAGTGGCGTAGGCAGAGGGGGGGTTTGGGGGGTTGAAACCCCTCCCGAAATGCCAAACCTCTCCTCCCCCCTCTCTATCTCTCTCTCTCTTTGAGACCGATTTTCGCGATCTGCTTGCCATTCTGCGGCAGCGCGGCTCTGCCGAGCCGAAATAAGTGGGCGGCTTTCACTTGATCGAACGCCGTTTTAGCGAATGAAAACGAGACCACGACGTTTCATCGAATGACTAGCGAATGGATGTAGTTACACAGACAGCTCGGATCAGCTTTCTTTTGTAATGTGCAGCCTTGTCTGCCGCCGCGAAGCGGCGAAAACGAGGGCTCCGAGTATGTTAGCACGCGTGTTTGAAAAACAACGTTGCACGGTTCTCAACAAAACAAGTTTTGTTGAGAACCGTGCAACGTACCACTCAGGAGAAGTGCTTTCTCCTCAGCACACGGGTGCACTGCGGCAAAGCAAGATATGCAGAACTGCAATGCCTACTACGCAGTTGTCACGTCTGTGCAATACACCAGTGCGTGCACATAATGACAATCATACTCAACAATGTTAGCTGTTCAGTCAGAAAAAACGAGCATGAGATCATATGTTGCCGAACTCCCAAATACTTTCAATGTTTGATACAGACATCAATGGAATAGGAGATGATCGAAAGTTTTGGAAATTTGCACAAACCTACAGTAATTATCTGGCCATGTAGCTTTGCCCGACTTATTATATTGTCGGTATTAATCAAGTGAAAATAAGTTTTAGCTAAATATTGGCGCAAATTCCTCACATATTGGCAAATGTAGCAGGATGTAGCAGAGTAAGCACCTTTGCACAGTTTGCTGCAGCAATCACATCACTGTGATTTACACTTTCCAATTAACCTGGTAAATAAAGATGGACAAAGTTCAGGCATTTGAGGTTAGGTTGTATCAAAGTGTTTTGTAGTGTACCACAAGTGTGCTTCATAAACTAGCCATACACGTGAAAGATTTATCTTTCCAGATCTATGATTGACCAATTTTCCCAACAAGTGGGAGCGTGCCAGTTTTCATGTGAAACAAGGTCCATGAGCTAAAAGAATACTAACAGTTGACACGCTGTTCTCTTTTATTACTCTACAAGCTGAAACTTCACATCAACTTTGTCTTACCAGTCCTGAATCAAGATATTGTCGCAGAGTTGGCAATTTACAACAGCGTGCGGAAGTGGTGTTACAAGTGTAACTTACAATTAAATCCATTGATTAAATAATAAAAATGACCTGTTAATCTCTCTTTGCATGACACTACAACAAAACTCAATTCATTTTTCTATAGTTTAACTCAGATGTTGTGTGCACCAGTCCCAAAGAAACGGGTGCGAGGGCATAATTCAGGAAAATGCCCAAATTTGTATAAACTTATTTGTAGTTTTTTTTATTTTTTTTAACAAAACAGGCTCATCTCTGTTCCATTGTAGCCATTTATTAGACAAAGCCCAGATAATGGTCATTTTCAGAGCAAACTGGGCCCTTGATGTAAACTGTCACATGTTCTCAGTCCATTACATGTTCCATGCTCACAGCAGCAATGCAAACAAAAAAATTTAAGTAACACATTTCAAGAAACACCTGACATGACATTTGCCATGAAATTGTAAAAAGTCTTCTTTGAACCAGTCTTGCCAACCGTGAGGATGGCTGGAGATTCTTTGCTAATAAACGCATTCCAGCATGAGCAGAAATGAAAGCCACCAAAAGAGTTTACAACATCTGTACAAACAACCAGAATCTGACTGTGCTAAAACAAACACAAAAAAAAACAAAAAACATTTGTCTTGTGAACATTCCAAGTGCGATAACGACGCTCGTCTAAATACACTGCCCAGATTCAGATCACGTCAGTATATATAATGTTTAGCACAATAACAATGCAAGTTATATGAACTTTCGAAAATACCATATGAACAATGTCTCTCAATGTACCTAGCTGTACCATACTGAATGATGTGCCTTTCTCGTGAAAGTATTGGTGGATGTTTGCTGCATAAAACAAGACGGGAAATGAATACGAATTTGACGGGCTTAAAAAGCCAAAAGAATTGACGTGTGTAAAAAAAATAAATAAGTACCTAACAGAAGAGGTGACACACCAACATTTTTCAACAAGCAACCGTAAGAGTACTATATTTTCTGGACTACCAGCCCCTACATTATACAAGTTCAATTTTTATGTGGTGCAAACTATCTACAGGTGCGGGTCATTAATTACGAAAACCACGACGGATCTTGTGAATGACAGATTACGTCAATGATGATTTCTTTATGATACAAGCTGCTTTGTGCACTAGTACACTCTAAGTTCGTTTAACAGACCTTGATTTTGACCAGGATTTCCGTCTGTTGTAAAAGCAGTATGTTGTATGCAGGTGGGAAGTTGAGTCAGTGGTATGTAGAGGAAAACCAACCGAACTTCACAAATCGGTATGTTATATCCAAATGTCTGTTGTAACCATGTCTGTTGTAATGAGCTCAGACTGTAAAGCAGGCATTTTTGAAAGTCTGCTACGCATGCCAAGTTTTTACGTGCAGGCGACAAACCAGGAACGGACTATACACCGGGTGTGAACAACCTAAAGAAAAAGTAGTAAGGGTGCAGACAAGCTGGTGGATGTTATCCATGTTGAATATACCTGAGACTGGGGTAGAAAGGAACATAAAAGTCGAAGAAACAGTCCCTTTCTGTTTCTTCGACTTTTATGTTCCTTTCTACCCCAGTCTCAGGTATATTCAACATGGTATACCTAAAGAAACTTTTTTTCTTTAACCGAATATTACCCCTGCAGACAGTACGCTAGGTGCTAACTATAGTCTGGAAAATATGGTACTTGATATTTCACTGTTTTTGATGTAGTTGAAGATGCACCTGTGTTGTCCCTTGTCTCGCATGTTTATACCTTCATTTGTTTCATGACTAGAGGCCCCTTTTACATATGGTGAAGGCCCAATTTCTGCAACATCCAAAAAGATTGATAATAGTAGTACACGGGTAATACTTAACCAGGATAATAGTACCCGAGTTAAGTAAGTTATTTTCTCACGGAAGATGTCCACGAGCTAGAAGAAAAACTGACAATGTAATTTATATGCACCAGTGCCATTGGCAGAAAATCTTAACAACTGATAATCGGTCGTAATACATAACAATAAAAAATAGGCGACACCCTGCAAAAAGTTTGTTTCTCTTTTCTACCTTTTCACACAAGTTCATTCTTTTATATTTCTATCACAAAAATACATACACATCAGTCTAACGGTTAATTAAACGGTTAACTAAAAATAGATTAAAGCACTTTGATGCCTATGGCACAAGTTATTTTTATGAACAAGACCCAAGTGCCTGCGTTCCAGGAGTGCACATCAAGAGCCAACCACTTGCATCTACACAAGGAGAGCAGCCTAGGCCACTCACAGTCCAGAGTTCATATGTTATCGGTGTTGCGTTATTCACTGGGCCCTTTCCAGTTAGTTTCTGCATGCACTGTAAGCAAGCAGACACACGAGCTTTCTTCATGGATTGCTTGTGGTACCTACAAGAAAATACAGCCTTGCCAATACATTCAGATCAGTTCATATGGTTCGTCCAAGACCTCTCCCATCTTCCGGATAGTGCTTCAAGTGCTGCTGATGAGAAGCCACAAGGCCTCCATCTTACCAGTACGACGTTTAGCATATTACATGTTGCAATGTCACGATGGCCTCCCGTGGCAACTGAGAAAGGTTCAAGAGTTGATGCATATTCACTCGCGAAGAAGGAGTCTGGGACTCGTAATGTGGCGGCTCAGTGACTGCACCCCAGTCATGAAAAACCGCAATCCAGTAATCGATACACAACGTGTTTGAAAAGAAAGTAAAGGAACCACAAACATTGGTGTCTGGATGCAGAGAGTTGAAAGTTCTCTTGAACGCGCATTTATTTTACTCGTTTAATTAATTCTAAGTATTTCGCGAGATGCTAATAAATCTCATGAAATACTGTTCACCACTGTCCATTTTTGGAACGTTTATACCTTAAGTGCCCTCACTTGTGTCACGGTTTGCCAGCATACAGGTCAAACTGAATTTTCTGAGCACAGAATGCACCAGGCAAAACTGTTCAACTTATCAGAAGTAAATCAACTAGATGTGCTTGAAAAGTTACACTGGAAGAGACACTCCTGCAGTAATCTTTCTTAGGCCTAGGAATTCAAAACCAACGTTTTATCCGCCCCTAAAGACTGTCAAAGTCAGCTTTCCACTTTTGGCGCGGGTGCGCAAGGTTTCGGCACGAAAGATGGCTACCCATTCGGGAGAACTTTCAGCTTGGTATACCATGGCATCAACTTTTGTGGTTCCCTTTTGGATTCTAGGTTTCCATTTAGGACATACTGGAGAGATTGGTGACTCAAATAGGTAACAGTACAGCAATTCCGAATTTTCATCATCACCTACCAGAGGCAAGTGCGAGGCAGAGATTAGACACAAACGCCGCGTCAGCATTGAGCCGCAACTCGCGTCCAATCGGCGCCCAGCGCAGGCCTTTGATGGGCGACGCAGAAAATTCCTCACTACGACCTTGTCATCTAGTCCTTTAGGAGGCAAGGTCGTCAGATGTCCCAAAACGCCGGCAGGAGACTGATCTTCGACGCCTAGAGAGGCTCAGTCGTCGTCCAGCGCGGCGCTGGCCGTGATGATGACGTCTTCCCCGAGGACACTCTCTTCCCCCGTGTCCAGTTCCAGCGCCTGTTGCTGTTCGAGTTGCTGAATGGCCAGTTGCTGAAGGGCCATCACTTGCGCCGGATTCGTCACCAACAGGATCTGCTGACCCGACGCTGTCTGCACCAGCGTCCCTTCCTCCTGCGTAGGGAGGGCGAGAAATCTCGTTCGAGGCCGACACACGAGGAATGGATTCAGCCTGGCAAAAAACCCTTTCCCAATGTCTCTCCCCATTCTTCCCTCCTCCTTGCCTAAAGTATGGAGCACATAGTGCGTCTCTGACTGTCGTGTTTAGCGTCCCATTCTGACCGTACACCAAAAGTATCCCCCAAGTGACAACGAACAACATCTCAGTCTCGCGTTGTCGGAGCTTGGGATCCTGGTGGTTCGTCGTAGAAGTTTGGGGAAGAAGTGAGTGTCACTGTCGTAGCAGCGTTTCAATTCCCGGTTGCAGAAGCTTCCGTGGACTGTCTGGATCATCTGCCACACCATACTTTTACTACGTCGTCAGAAGGAAATGAACCTTTTGCGCCCGAGTATACTTGAGCGCGTTCCCGTATGGGTTTGGTTCCCCTTTGCTTTCTGCCACTCCCAACTAGGCTGTAATTTAAAAAACAAAAATATTTCATGCATAAAGGGATGTACAAGCAAGTGACAAAGACAGTGTTTCATCTTGTAATGCTACCTTTTGATGGCCCAAATTTTTTGTTTGTTTAGGCAACTTCTGCTTCGGTATGCTCCTTCGTTGTTGCAGAATGGCAAATCTACGTCGTTCAACCTCGCGCTTCATGCTGAGTGCCGAGATCTAGGAACAACCAACGAACTCAGTCAACAGACGACCGTCCGAGTAAGGTCCCCAAGAAAAGTGGCCTCGGGAAGTGAGGTTGAGGTGTCGGCGTACCACCGTTTCTCAATAAGTACAATGCGAGAAGCATGTCATAGGTTGGAGCCATCCGGACGTCAATTTACTTTTTTTCTCATAAGACGACGTGCCTTTTAAAAATAGATTATCCTCACGGAGCATTCTGCACTGTTACCAAGACCAAAATGTGCGTCCGCCCTGCGGGAAAAAATATTTGGTACTCTAAAGACTAAAAAGACATTGCAATAAGAAAAAAAAAAAGAAGCTTCTTTTCAAAGGGCATACATGGGAGACATAATCCTTTTAATAATTTTTCAACAAAATAAAAAAAAAAAAAAAGAATTGTCGAATTATTATGTTGTGAGACACAACTTAGACGGAGGTTATGGCATGCTCTAAGCCCCGCCCACAGATTAGTGGCCCCGACCATTATACTACTGGATTCGCTCAGCTGCTCGGCCAAACACACTAACGAGCCTAGAGTCTTTCTTTCGCGACATCCAGTGCGTGGAGTCTGGAAGTCTAACGCCACCCCCTAGTCGTGCAAGTAGACGCGTGGTAGCCTCCAGCACCGTCTGCTATTTCCCCACGGTCTGTCATCGTCTGCAATGTCCATGAGTCGCAGACACGAAAGCTGTGCGCCGGCGTCCGTTTTCGCCTCTGTCTGTCTTCTCTCCCCACGTCTAAAATCTTTCGCGATGCTCAGAAGACGCAACAATGCAAGCGGCGCTCTAGCATTCTTATAACTTTTAGATGAAATAACGCTCTCTTTTTTGGATCTGGCTCGTACCACCGTGCACGAGCCACGATCCAATACAAGCATCTGTCAGCGTCTATCAATGTGCAGTAATAAGCAACCAAGAGGACAAAAAGAAGTCTACCAAATAAGTATGCAGTCCTTTTAGTTCACGATAAGGAAAGAGGGACATTTAAGACAAACAGACAAGACTCTTGTCTGTTTGTCTTAAATGTCCCTCTTTCCTTATCGTGAATTAATAACCAACACGCTCAACCATCTACAGTCCTTTTAGCTTTACCGTTCTCCGTTTTTTTTTTTCATGAAATCCATCAGCAAGCTCAGTGAGTGTCATGACGCACAATTAAAATGCGACCTAAAAATAGTCACTTTGGCAGGCCAGGTGCACTGCAAAACTTGAGAACTACTTCCCTTTCAAGGCAAATGACGGGAACATACCTAGACAAACTCGACGCGAGCCAAACGCCCGAGTGCCTGAATGGCTCACAAATTCTAACTTGTGCAGGTATCTTCTCGGTATTAAACTAGGGTTGCAATCATGACAGTTGCACAATGCACAGAGCAGTGGGGCCACTTTCACCAGAACCAGTATCTTTATTCAGCACCAACACGCGCAAAGGAAAAATCGAGCCAGATCAAGCAACATAAAGTTGAAGTGGGATGCTTCGCCCCTGCACGCCAACGTTGCCTCTTCTCCTCCAGATTGTGCGAGTTCTTCTCTTCCAGTTGCTTACGCCTGTCTCGCTGACTCGGACCTTTCCTTTGCCTAATAAGCGGTTATCTTAGTCTTTGAACTTGTCCCTTGTTCCTCGGGCATACCCACCGGCCCCCGCGGCTCGTTAAACACAACGCAAACACCAGCAGCCATGTTTGTTATCGTTTGAAGCTAAAGCGGAAAGACAATCTCGAGATATTTTAGAAAAGAATAATGACTCTATCTATAGTATTTGTTTCTCAAATGTAAAAATCTTGTCGATATAGATGCTGTGAAGGCACGGAGAAACAATTTGACAACCAACATTTCACACGTCGATTATCTCTTTAACCACTGAAAGCTGAGAAAAGGTGCTTAGTTTCATAAGCACCAGGTGGGGTCTTGAGTGGGGCTACCCCCCCTAAAGTGTGTCTAACAATGTAAATTTTGCTTTATATTTTCTTTTTTTCATGGAAATATTTGCAAAATAAATGCGTCCAACTCGGGCCCTTTAAAAGAAATCTTTTTTTCTCTTCCATATTTGCCAAGTTATTGGTATTAACCGAGAGACTCCCGAAATTTGACCATTTTGTATGATTTTACGGTTGACAGTAAAATCTCCCGGAAAATGCAAATTAACCCTTCCTCGACCTTGCACTTAAAGTCTTTTTGCTGTTGTAACAGATGGCAGCAATGATAGTGAGGACCAACTGTAGCTCACTAGCATGAACAGTGCACAACAATTGTAATGAAGCTGTGCACTGTTCATTTAAATTGAATGTCAATACTTCTAAAAAATAAATGCCCCCGGCTTAGAAAGTCTCTTGGATTTGGTTTCTCTAAACTTGGCAGGTACGCATTTCAGCGTGCCTATGCTGAACCAAAAATTTGGATTCCATAAAACATGGTGGCAGAAGCGTGCAACAGGATGCTACGAACACCAAAACATCACTTCTACAGCGATATCTCGAAACGGATGACCATATTTTTCATAAAAAGGAGGCACATTTGACAGATGTGTTCATGTCTTGTTTCTCTGAGAAGAGTCGAGAAGAAGAGGAAACAGCTTTGTGTCTTCTCAGCCTCGCCGCCTTGAGGGTGCCAAGCAAAGAAAGGAGGAAACGAGATATACTGACGTCACGCGCCTTGTCGGCCTCTTCAATCTCGACCTCTTTTTCCAAAAATATGGTCGTCCATTCGAGATATCGCCTTGCGAGGAGTGTTGTAAGGATTGCAGCGTCCCACCTAACGCTCCTGCATTGTTTTCCGAAATCCAAATTTCGGTACATCATACCTTTAAAGGGGAAGTACGACGATTTTAACAATGAAAGGATAGGAAGCTCACATTTCTTATATTGTTTATCTTGGCCCAAGGGAACAAAAAATGTGCCGCTTTCCCCTGACACAACCATTTCGCCGAATAATTGTGAAGAAAAAACATATTTTTCCTGATCTTACCGTTGTGCGTGGCAGTCAATGAAACTCCGGTGCGACGTAATTCAAAGTATGCAAGTCATCGTGGTGCCATCTGCCGGAACCCAACGAAACCATTTCCTCTCCATGCCACCCTCCCCATCTCTTCCTCGTCGAACCGTCTTTTGCCTCGATCGCCCGCCGCGATTTTCGACGACGCTCAGCGGGTGCAGCGCTCTGCGGCGGCATAATCGGTCCTCGAAAAGTCAACAATTGTGGAGGGAGGTCCAGGCATTACCGCCAGAAGGCGGGCCCCCGCGATCATGTCGTCAGTAAATCCCAGACCCGCCCCAAATGGCAGACGCACTGAAGCTCCACGACGAGTCGCCGCAGAGCGGCAGACGCTTCCATCTGGGCGTCGCCGCCAGTTCGTGTTGCGCTTGCGGCGATTCAGGTGCAAAGCAGGCAGCGCTGCATGGATCCACTAGTGATAACGTTTGGGGGGGGGCAATTCAGGTGCAAAGCAGGCGGCGCTGCGTGGATCCACTAGTGACAACGTTTGGGGGTGATTCAGATGCAAAGCAGGCGGCGCTGCGTGGATCCACTAGTAAGAACGTTTGAGGGTGATTCAGATGCAAAGCAGGCGGCGCTGCATGGATCCACTAGTGATAACGTTTGGGGGGGCAGTTCAGGTGCAAAGCAGGCGGCGCTGCGTGGATCCACTAGTGACAACGTTTGGGGGCAATTCAGATGCAAAGCAGGCGGCGCTGCACGGATCCACTAGTTTGGGGGTGATTCAGATGCAAAGCAGGTGGCACTGCATGGATCCACCAAGTAACAACGTTTGGAAGGGGGGGGGGGGGGGGGGGGGGAGGGGAGGGGGGCGATTCAGGTGCAAAGCAAACGGCGCTATGTGGATCCACTAGTGACAACGTTTGGGGGCGATTCAGATGCAAAGCAGGCGGTGCTGCATGGATGCACTAGTGACAACGTTTGGGGGAAAAAGGCCTCTTCTTTTAGGTATGAGTGGCCAGGGGCCCCGAAAACAGAACGGAACACAGTGCTCCGAGCAACGCCGCTGCGCACCTTGCTCGAAAGACGGTCGGTTCGGGGGCACCCAAACCTTCCATTTGTTTCCGTTTCATTAAGATGAAAGCCTTATATGTCTCATCGCTCAGTCGACCTTCCAAGTCCTTGTGCGAAAACACGTCGACGACACAAAAGCTACCAAAACCCCTGGACCCCTGGACCACGAGATGGCGTTACTCGTGCCAGAATCGGCAGAGGCACTATGTTCCTCCGCAAAGGCTTTTTGCTCTTATCCCTCGGCTGGCGTCAAACCAGCAACCTTTCGCTCAGCAGTCCAACGTGGTACCCCTCAACCATGGGCGGAGGGGCACTGCCACATTCGTAAATCAAGTGTCTGTCTTTAATACAGTCGACTCTCATTAATTCAAACTCGAGGGGGGCCGAAAATTTGTTTCAATAAAGCAAAGTTTGAATTATCAGGAGTTTCTTCCCATAGAGACGCATAGGATGGGACCTGCACGCTAGTTTGAATTATCCGAAAGTTTGAATTGAGAGATTTTGAATTAACGAGAGTCGACTGTACCGTATTTACTCGAATCTAACGAGCACCTTTTTTCAGGGAACTAAGTCCAAAAAATGCAGGCGCGCTAGAATCGAGTGCGACCCAAAACTGCGCTACCATATCGCCCCCGACATTTCAAAATGGCCGCTTCATTACGCGCTGAGAAGCCAAGGAGGTGAAAAGCTGAGAGGCTTAGAGCGTAGTCGTGCTTAGCGTAGTCGTGTGTTTCTTGCGTTCGTATCAGCATGGAAGTTCCCACTGCAAGGACACGCCGCGTTCACCATGATGTTGGATTCAAAAGAGAAGTGATATTTTGCGCGGAAAGCGATGGAAATGGGGCCGCATCACGTGCGGCCCCATTTCCATCGCTCTCCACGCAATTTTTGTTCCAGAAACTTGCGTGGCTGCAGGACTTCGCCGGATGGGCGAAAGATGCGCGGTGCACGATCATGTCTGCCATGGTTATTAAGGCCTTCAAGAAGTGCGGGATTTCCAACGCTACGAACGGTACCGAAGATGAAATGCTTTGGGCCGTTGACAGCGATAAGGAGTCGTCCGAGAGCAATGGCGAGTGATGCATACCGCCCCATGGGCGCTGCCCCCGACCGGCGTCGTGATGACGACCTTGCCAGCGAGAGACGGCGCCGTTTCATTTCATCGCGAGATTGAAGCATTTGGAATGAACCTTCGTAGTTCCAAGCAAGAAACAGTTTCATTGCTGTACCCAACCTACAAAATCTGATGTGCGTAACAATCGAGGTCATAGCATTTTTTTTTTTCGGGCCTCGAAAATTGGGTGCGTGTTACAATTAGGGTGCGTTAGATTCGAGTAAATACAATACATCGGCGCTTGGGCTTTCACCTTCACGTCATCTTAGGAATAATATAAGAGACCCTGTGTATTTTTAAAACAGGAACCGCGAAGGTGGTGTTTGTTGTCTCACCTGCAGCGCCTGCGGATCGAAGGTGAGTCCGTGCTCCGCCTGGAGGGCCAGGAGCGTCTCCGCGCTCGTCGACCCGGCCTGCTGGAGCACCAGGGTGGTGGTGGTCGTGGTGGCGCCCCCCGTCGTGCTGCTCGTCACGACTGCCTGATGCCTGCCCGGTCGCCGCTCCTTGGCCGGAGCCCTTCCCGTGTCCTGATCAGGCTCCGCCTCCTGGTCGTCGGCGTCTTCCAGCTCCTCCTCTATGTCATCCTCGTCCCCGCCCAGATCTGGATGTTTTGCGATCACAACGAACGTTAAAGGGACACAGAACTGTCCTTTCAACATTATAGCCCTCATTTTAACATTTCATATTTAAGCGATGCTAAAATATCGAACACTGTACCATCTTCTGTCACAAAATTGCACAATAGCTCCTTAAAAGGACACTGACAATCCCCCAAAATTTGTTTTATTATTTGCCAGGCAATTTAATATGGTGTCAGAAGACTATCCAATCAATATTTTACTAAAGCGTCACATATATTTCTTATAAAGTCAGAAAATGCAACTGCTTGATACCGAAACTTAACTGGGGAGGAAGAAGAAATATAGACGAGGAGAGAGTGGGCAGAATTCAAGTGGCTGTGTAACGTTTTTTTCTTGAATCAACATAATTGTGGCTATTTAGAAGCCACAAAAAATGAGCATCATACAGTGTAGACCGCATATAACGTATGTAGCGGGAGTCGCGAAAATCCGCACTATAACCAAAACATAAATTTTTCAGGCCAAAATGCATGCCATGAGAACACTTACCTTTGTAAACAATTTATTTTATGTTAGATGAAAAATAAAGCTTAGTTTGAGGAAAGTCTTTATTTCACCAGACTAGTACAGTTCTGTCTCAAGTGTGTCACACATTTTGAAAGAAATGAGCGGCTTTTGCCTGGCGCAGCCTTTTAACGGCGTCGCGGGTTGTGGACGGACGTTGCGAGCGTTCAGGATTGCTAACCCTAATCACTTTTCTCCGGCGATGAAAACGCGTGAAAATTCACATCCTTTATATGATACGCGCCAGTAATACCTTCAACTTTAGCACAGGCATGAAATGCTCCAAATAAGAAATCCGGGCGATGTTCGAAAACACAAATGCTTAGAAAGCACCACTGTAGTCGAAGTAAACAAACACGACAACACGGGCGTTTCTGCCGTCTTGAGAGTGCCGCCATGACATCGCCGCACGAGTAGGTGGATCTTCCCTTCTAGTACGTGCTGGGTTATCATAGAAACACACAACGAAAATTCACAGTCAAGGATAGCGCTTTTACGCGGAACGATGAGCTTCTACCATGCCTTCTACGTCCACGATCACAACCGACGCCATGTTTGCGGATAGAAGCAGCCCGCGACCGGCATGAAACGCGCGTGACTTCTCGACCTGCGATTGGTCTGTCGTTGCGGTTGTTTCCGACGTTTCCAACGCAGCGGAGGGACGCACGCACGTGAATGACACCTGCGTGCGTCCCTCCGTCGCTAAGGCAACTGAAGCCTCTTCGCTTTTCCCCACCTCTTCGAGCAACCTCCTTCCCCCCGCGAGTGCCGCTTGCGGCTCGCGCCGTTATCTGGTGTCACACAGGGAAGCGTGCTCTCTGCGTCGGTCAGTCAGCGCGGTCGCCAGGCTGTTCCGAAAACCGCACTATAACCGGTATTTCCCTTCGCGCGCCTGCATTTTAAGCGGTATGTAATTACATGGAGTTCTATGGGAGGCGAACCGGTGGTTTAAAAAAGCCGCATTATACCCGGTCCTGCACTATAAGCGGTTACGTTGTAAGTGGTCTATACTGTATTTCTTTTCTATTTTTAAAATTGAGTGTGCGCTTTCAATGATCCAGAACTTTAATTATCTTTGGTGGTTGTGTCTGAACCATAGAAAACGGCACGTGGCCACGAAGGAGAGAGTGAGCGAGACTCAAACCGGGCAGTTCTCGATCGGCGGTTTTCGGGCGGAAAGAATACAAATTTCAAGCCGCAAATTGTGTTCTGGGTAGTTGGGCTCTTATATGTCCTGTACAAATAAATATCTTGGTGAGCATAAATACCCTGTCCGTGTCCCTCTAAGGAGCCAGAATCTCCTAAATTGGATATATCTCCCAGTATCTTGACAGTCATTTGCTTGTCTCATAAATATTTTTTTGTTACTGTCATAATATGATTACATTAATTTATTTCATCTGTGCCAATATTTTAAGTACCAAAAAATCCCACAAGAACACCCACCCAAAATGAAGAGATAACAGGCTGAAGTTGAGCTAGTTGGTACATAATTTAGGTAAATGGTCAGCTGACCATTTACCTAAATGAAGAGATAAATGGTGAAAAACATGGGGTGGACTATCTTTGGGGATGCCAGCACCGGTGCACCCGCTATAAACCACAGGATGCGGGAACTGACACCGCAGATCGTGGACAGGGCAAGTCCGCGTTTCACGATGTGATAAACACGTGGGAATTCGCTACAAACTCCTGTGTCATTGGAAACGATACTGCAAGTTGCAGACGCGGCAAAGTCGCGTCTCACGGTGCGCAGGACCCGTGAAGATCCGTCGAGAACTCGCATCTCTTGGGAGAGGATACCGCAGATTGCGGACGCAGCATATTCAAGTTTTATGGTACAATAAACATGCGGGAACCCGCTACAATCTTGCCTATCACAGAAACCGATATCGCGCGTGCAGATTGCAGATGAAAATGCAGGAACATGATAGGAACCCGCCTGTCACGGAAACAAATACCGCAGATCGCGGACACAGCAGAGTCACTCTTCACGATGCAACATACACGCGGGAACAAATTGCGTGTTACGGGAGCCGATATCACGCGTAGATGTGCCGCAGATTGCGCCGTTGATGTGCGAGCCCCGCCAGACATAGCTTGACATCCGCTGTTATGTTACAGATATTTAGCCAGAAAAACGGGATGGGCAATCTTTCGGGGGAGGGTGTCCTTACAAGATTTTACAGTAATCTATCTATATGCTTAACTTGACATTCTGTTTATGACATGACTTTTGTTTATTGATGTATATTATGTTGCATATTATTTCTTTATGTCTCGCAGATATTTTTAAAACGTTCACAGTGGTGCGATTGACCTGAATAATTTTGTAGCACCCATTGGAGCAGCCAAAAGCTCATTATGAAGCAGCGAAAAGTACCATATTTACTCGCAGAATGAACGCACTTTTTTTCCCGAAAAATCGATGCAAAGTTGGGAAGGGGGGGGGGGAGGGGGGGGGGGGAGGCGTTCATTACGCCAAGTAAAATTTTTGGGTCCGTATTTACTCGCATAATGAACGGACCTTTTATCCTGAAAAATCGAAGTAACTTCTTATCTCTTTGCGCGCGGCGCCCGACCCTGTAACCAAGCTGTGCAAAAAAAAGAAATCTCTTTGTTTTCTTTTTTTCTTAGTCCCTTGGTTGTTGTTTTTTTTTTCGCCTTTTGCAAGCTGTTTTGTTTGCTTAGGCATTGCTTAGGGGAGGGCTCTCCGCTTAACTTTCTTATCTCCATGCGCGCGCCGGGCGCGACGCACGACCCCCGTAACCAAACTGCGCTGTGCAAAAAAAAAAAAGAAAAAAGCTCCTCTTTTTCTTTTTTTTTTCTCAGTTTCGTGTTTTTTTTTTTTTTTTTTGCCGCCTTTCGCAAGCCGTTTCGTTTGCTTTTTGGGCTTCTCCGCTCCTCTTTCTTACCTCCTTGCGCGACCCCCGGTAACCAAACTGCGCTGTGCGAAAAAAAAAAGAAGAAAAAAAGCTCCTCTTTGTTTTTGTTTTCTCTTAGTTCGGTGTTTTTTGTTTTTTTTTCTTTTTGCCACCTTTCGCAAGCTGTTTCGTTCGCTTAGAGCGCTTCTCCGCTTCACTTTCTTACAGCGCGAAACACATGTACGACGAAACCGTCCGATCCGACGTCCGACCGCGCAATACGACGGTCGGAGGCGAGGGTTTTCAACGCTCTCCGATGCTACGAAAACCCTCTCCCCCCCAAGGTCATTCCGGCAGTCCGCATGTCGGATCGGACGGTTTGGTCGTACATGTGTTTCGCGCTTACCTCCTTGCGTGCGGCGGCGCGCGAACCCAAAGTGCAGACTGCGCTGTGCAAAAAAAAAAAAAAAAAAAGAAAAAAAAAGCTCCTTTTCATTTTTTTTTCTTGTTTCCGTTGGATCTTTGCGAATTTTTTTAACGCCTTTTGCAAGGCGTTCTGTTCGCCCACGCTGCCCATGCATTCGCGACCTCGCTGCATTAGGATAGAAAAGTGCGTTCATTTCGCGCGCGTGAAGGGAGGGGTCAAAATTTTGACGTCCGAGTTGGGGGTGCGTTTACTATGCAAGTAAAAAAAAAAGTCGAAATTTTGAGAGCCGACTTGGGGGTGCGTTGATTACGCGAGTGCGTTCATTGTGCGAGTAAATACGGTGCTTTTGGAGCACAAGCAGATTAAATTTTTATTCATATCACTGTGAATATTGCTCTATATGTTAAGATAGGTGCGTTGGCCTATCCAACTAAAAAAATGTGCATGCTTTGCCTTCACACTTCTGTGCAATGACGGTTTGATTTCCTCAAACACAAAACAAACGGTTTAGCTGCACATAGAAGCAATAGGCGCGGCAACAAGATGCAGATCAATGAGGGACGGTATGGATTGCTGTGAATGGTCATTTCACGTGCAAAATAAAATGTCAACCAAATAGTATATTTCACTAAAACAATGTTAGAATAATCTTGAGCACACAAACTCATGTTTTATTCAAGTTCTAAAGGTTGTAATAAAACATAATTCTTAAATCCGACAAAAAAAAAATCTCTTATCATTAAAGGGATTGTCCGGTCAAATTTTGTATTCGAGAAAACAATTGGATATCATTGTTATTGCCTCGAGACGCATCGTAATTGCAATATCTGAATTTTATATGGCCCTCTGCGTGAGTAATTAAATTTATACACCTTTTCCGTCTAACCTCGACCCAGCGTGTAACGTGCGTAGCCTCGACTCGGCGACTCGGCGCACAGCGGGAATAGTTCTCCCGGTTCTAACACTTCCGGTATGCGGGAGCAGGCCTAGCCGGCTGGCAAGATGCTGAAGTGGTGCGCGTTAAATGGGGTTTGAAGCCCTTGACAGCGAAGTGAGTTGTAATAAGGTGGGTTAATACGTCGATGTATCATGTTCGCGCATATTTGGTCATCGGGCTGCCACTGCGCAGTCGTTGGCTGCAGCAGCAATTTCCGAAAACGGAAGA